TGGGCTCTGCCCTATTCCTGCAGTGTCCTGTGTGAGAGACAGTGGTCAGTGGGCTCTGCCCTATTCCTGCAGTGTCCTGTGTGCCAGTGGGCTCTGGGCTGTGTAAGAGAGACCATGGTCAGCAGGCCCTGCCCTGTGAGTGGACAGTTGTCTTTTTCCTGGTATACACAGGACCACTGTCCTAGCTCCTGTCTTCTGTGTTGCTGGAGTGTGGGGGGTTGTACCCACAATCTGTATAATTTATTTTAAAAGGGGGGTTCAGTTGTGCTATAGACCAGGATTCCAAATCTTTCTGTTCCTTTTTGTGATTTAATTGAACTAATTAAATGTGGGATTAGAGCATTCAGTTAGTCAGCTGGTGTTTAAATAATTACTGAGCTTCAATCAAGTGTTGAACTGAGTAACAGCTCAGTCAGCAGACACTAGGGCAGGACTGGGGAGCCCTGCTGGGGTGTCACGCTGGCACAGGTCCGTCAGAGCACAGGGGTCCCAGCTCCACTTTCATCTGGGACTTGAACTGTTTCCAGGCCAACTGTCCGAGCTGGAGCTCTCTTGGTGCGGTCCTGCACGGTGCCGTGCAGAACCTGTGGTTCTGCTGGACCGGGAGCTGGGTCGGTGAAGTGTTTTACTGGGCTGCAACAATGATCCGGAGAAGCAGACTTGAGGGAGAGAGGGAGCCTGTGCTGTTCTGGATGAGTGTAAATCTTTGTGGTTACTTGAATGTAGTTGTTTTAAAGTTAAGATGCTGTATATATATATTGCTCTAACAGATCTATTGTTGGTGAGCTAAGGTTGTGCTTTTTTTTTATTGTCATCGTCTTCTACGTCTCTTAATAAAAACCAACCCAACGAAACTCCTGCCTCCGATATCATACAGGCTCACCAGCTCGGTTCTCTGGGTTGCTGTGAACATTTGACTTTTGACGAGAATGCCTCTATGAAACTTAAGCAGACTAGTATTACACAGAAGTAGGGAGCTGCATCAGCTACAAACGCACAAGTACAGGTTTATTCCAGGCTGAAAAGAGAAGAAAAGAAACAATGTTTTGGCTGTGGAGCTTTCGGGTGGTGGGTGAGTTCAAGAAGAAGGCTCCACAGCCAAAACATTGTTTCTTTTCTTCTCTTTTCAGCCTGGACTAAACCTGTCCTATTATACAGTACTTGGTGAACCAATTCAGGTCAAACTGTCCCTCAGCAGAAGTTAGACTTTCCGAAATGATGATTTGTGCAGGACTGTAAGAAAATGTGGAGAATAATTGCGCAACTGATTAACAGCATATTAATTAACGGAACATTTGCAGTAAAGGAGACGTGCCATCAGCTGCAGAGAGAAGCGCAGACAGCCCTGTGCAGCGCCCTCCTGTGGAGCTGGAGTGTGATGCACACGAGGGCCATCTCGGCTCTGTGAAGCAGGGCAGCGATCTCCCAGATCTCTTCCGTCACCAGAGCTGCTGTTCCTGGAAGAACACCGGCTGCGGCTAACAGGGCCCTGCCTGGAAGATGACCAGGCCTGGAAATTCACACAGCAGCTCTCAACAAGCAGGGTTTGCACTTCCAGCGCTCGGGTATTTTATTTTTAAAGAGACATTCACTGAATACACTTACATTAAAAAACAAACTAGAGGTAGCGGAGGGGCCGTGTCGGGTTGTTTCTCCCCGCGTGTCCGAGCGGAGGAGCTATTGCACTTGGACAGGTCCAGCGCCCGCGGACAGAGGCCACTTCTCCTCCCAGATGTGCTCTTCTGTGCCACAGCTGGAGCGAGGACCCCGCTGAGCGTGCCGGGCCGCCCCGTCTTCCTCCCGAGCCAAGACGGGGGGAGGAGGGACCCCCGTTTCCACGGTACTACAACCACAGCGTGTTTCTCCCCCTCGGCGGCGGCAGCGCCCCGGTGACCCCGCGGTCCGCGCCCGCCCGCTGCAGGGGCTCCTGGGGGCCCGCGCTCATGACGGGAGGGGGCATCAGGGCTGGAGGGGGGAGGAGGTCTTTGTAAATCTCCCTGAATGAGGGCAGATTTCAAGCGAAATGGCTCCTCGCACCTGCAGCAGTCCGCCTGGCTGCCTCGGGTCCCCGATCTTCAAACAGCCGGACTGCAGAGGCAGCGGCCGGTGGGCAGTGTCCCCCCAGGAAAGAGCGCCCCAGCTCTCGCTCTAGAGCCCCCTCCCGCGCAGCGGCTGACACAGAGACTCGTTCCTCCCCCCCAGCAGGGCAGAGAGCAGGCCCTGGAGTCCATGTTAAGCTTCCAGCGCCACGCTGAGAACCCGTGTGTTGTGAACTTTGCACAGCATTTTCAACTCCAGCCCGACACTACAGGATTTTGCATCGTACAGTATTTTCAAGCAGAACACCAGACAGTACACTGACCTGTGTGTGTGTGTGTGTGTTTATACATAATACAAACTAACGCACTCCTGCAGCTTGAGAGTAAAACATGGCTCTTCTGGGTGGGACAGGCGGGGCTGTGGAAGGGCTGGGTCTCCCGTGACCGAGTCCAGAGCAGGGGAAGGACGCGCTTGCAGGTGCCCAGAGAGTCACGGGGGGGCGCTGTGGTGCACCAGACAGACAGACAGGACAGGGGGCGCCACACAGGACTTAATTTTAGGACAAAATTAGTGGCGATGGTAATTAAACTCATTCTGGTGTCCTTGGACTAAACCAGTTACTGGCTGCCCCAGCGCCTGCAATTAGGAATTCCTCCTTTGCAATGTTTATTCCCAGAGCAGTACCAACGTCTCCAGCCCTTCCCAGCCTGTCGGAGCTGTCTGAACGCTCTTTGCCGATAAAGGATGCTTCTCCAGTCAGCTCTGCACAGAGCTGGAGCCCATCCATCCCTCCTCCTGCCTTTTATTAGTCAGATACGACCTGATAAATATTCCCAACACTTCAGTACTGAATTCCAGCATTGCTTTTAGTTGCCAAAACCGTCTTCCCACCACACAACAACAACGAAAAAAAAGTACTTCAGGGAAAATCAAATTAAACACATACATTTCTAAAAAAATATCCCTTCCTGCCTATAACCCAGAACCTGTCTAAATCAACCAGCATAAAAATAAGAAAAGGGCTGGAGCAGAGACTCCTCTCCAGCCAACGCACGGAGACGAGGCTCCCGGCCAGCCCGGACACTAACCCGTCTCTGCGTGATGTCAGTACCAGCAACAGTAACACGGCAACCGCAGCACTGCAGTCAGAGGTGATGTCATCAGCGGAGCCTCTGCTGCGGTTCTGTTGCCGTGACAACTCAGTGGACTTCGGAGTGTCACTCTGTCTCTTCTCGACACAGAACCTGACCGCTCTGGGTAGTAAAGGTTACAGCTCTCACACCTCAAGAACACAGCCAACCTTGATACTTCTACTCCAGTCCCCTTGGTGTCCTCTGATCAAGACCAAAGAGATTCAGTCCCCTCATGCTGTCTTAGGAATGTATTTATATAGGGTAACAGAAAATTCCACCCTGAACTCTTTCGGGAGCCCCACTCTGAACTCTCTCTCTGTGCCCCCCCCCCCCGTGTGATTGGGTGGGGTCTTCTATCACCTCCATACTGCTCTGGGCCCAGGCCCCTGCAGTGAAGCCCAGCCGCAGGCGGAGAGAGTTCGGCGCTCGGATCACCAGGGTCCTGCTAAGGAAGGGGCTCGGTCTGCCTGGACCCAGTCCCAGGACTCGATTCAGCCTTCAGCAGCTCCAGAAACTACCAGTACAGCAGCAGCAACTGCTTAACCCTGACCTGAGATACACTGGTTCAAACGCATCGGATAAAACTCAAGTTCTCACACCCATTCTTTTGAATGACTCAAAAAAAGGCACAGACTGAAAGCATTTCAGAATGGCTTCACTCGTTTTTAAAGTTCCTTTCAAACGAAACTTGAGGAAGGAAGCCAAAATTAAGTACATCTTTCCCAGTGTCCCTTGTCCGTGCCACTCCCCACAATCAGGACATTTCACAAAACAGAAAATTGATTGCCATCTTAAAATTCCATAATCCTGTTTTGGAATTTTAAGCAGCAGACTATTTCCCCCTCTGCGGCGATCATGAGCCTCCACAGCAGCAGCAGGCTCGGGGGGGGGGCCCCCTGCTGGCTGCCCAGTGGAGCTGCTCTCCTCCGCGGCCTGGCTCCACAGAGGTGGGGCCGACGCCCACACAGCCGGCCTGCGGTCACAGCAAACCGCACCCAGACCACAGAGAGGCGATCGGCGTCCTCCGGGGGCAGCAGAAACAGGAATAACTCAACCCCCTTCTCTACCGAACACCCCCGCCCCGGTCTGGCCCCCCCCCCCCGCGGATCGGTCAGCGGGTCCAGACCGACAGGTTTCGGGAAGGTCAGGCGTATCCGGAGGAAGAGCCGGGCTCTGATCCGAGCTTCTTCCACAAACCAGACCCTGTGGAGCTGAGCCGGGTGCGTTGCAGCAGGAGAAAGGAGGGGGGGTCCCGACCCCGGCGCCCCTCTTCTCTTCCACAGCCGGGTGTCTGTTGTGCGAGAGATCCCCAGAGGGCGCCGGCGCGGGCCCCAGAGGTCGGAGGTCAGAGGTTAGAGGTGAGGTGGGACCGTCTGCAAGGCGTCCTCTCTGGACCTGTCCACGTGCACTTTCTGAAGAATAAAAACACAACCGAGAGAGAGAGAGAGAGAGAGAGAATAAACAACACCTGGACAAACTGACCCCAGTGTCTTCAGGCACCTTGACGTATGAAAGCAGAAAAAGGGTCAGGAGAGGAAACGCGTCCAAGCTTGCAGAACAGGCAGTTCATTATGAACGACAGGAAGCCTGGCACCTCCACAAGCTGCCCTTCACTGCTCCCTGCAGAGCTACACAGCTCATGCAGCTGCTTCATGAAGGACTGCGGTGAAGCTGCCCCGCCCACAGGACAGCCAACGTGCTCCAGACACCCACCACTCTGTGTGTAATTAAAGCATCAGATGTCACTACCCCAGTTGTACTGAATGGGACCCGCACCCGCTGCTTCACGCAGAGACCTCTGCCATGTGGTCAGCGCCCCCGGAGGCCGAGCCCGTCTCTGGGGAGACTCGGCTGCAGGGTCTACAGCGGCCACAGCACCCGGCCTCACTCATCTCGATTACACCCCCAAAGCAGAGGAGGCCCCTGTAGAGGGTTGGGAGTTCCCATCAAGGCTTCAACTCGTCCAGCTAAGCATAGCGAGTTCAACTGGGTAATCAAGGGTTAACTAAGGGAGAGAAAACGAGGTCCTCTGGGACCAGTGTCCAGACAGTCGGGGCTGTGGGCCGGAGGCCGACGGGTCTTATAGAGGACTTTCCAACCAGCAAGCAAACGCAGCTGAGAAGTGTCCTGCGCTCTAGAGAAGCCTGCGGCCCCGACCTCACTCACCGGGCCAGCAGCCCGCCTCTCCATCCCATCGGCGCCAGCTCCGCCGCCTCACACACACGCCCAGCGCCGGCCCGGCCGGGGACACCGGCCCCGCGCTGCCCCGCCACAGGGCCTCGTGCGCTCATCAAGATGGCCGGTCCAGTACGGCCGTCCAGGGCGCTGCAGGAAGCGCTGGGCCGGGCCAGGCTGCAGAACCAGCTGGCTCTCGGGCCCCAGCGAGACGTTGGGGGCACACTCGGAGCCGCTCACAGAAGCAATGGGAATGTTTTGGGGATCCGATGTTCTTTGGGGGTCTGGAAAGTGCCTCCCAGGCGTCCCCCGGGTACAGGTATCTGGAATCAGGGTGCAGCCCAGGAGGAACCCCCAGACCGGGGGGGAGCACAGGGGAGCAGTCCCCACAGCCTGCGCCATGTCACCAGCCGCTGTGGACGGCGGACGAGCTCAGAGACCCAAGAGCGAGCGAGCGCCCGGTGCAGAGGGGGCGAGACCAGGCCGAGACCCGTCTCACTCATCTCCACCCCCCGGAGCACCGGAGCAGCACTGACAAGAGACAGCCGAAGCACAAACAGAAACGGGCCAGGAAACCGGGTGGCTTGACAGATCTTTTATTTTCCTCCCGGACCGCGCAGGGCAGGGGAGACAGGCAGGCACGTCACGCCGAGAGCACACTCCCGCTCCCCCCAGGCCCCCGGCAGCACCGCGAGCACGGCGCCGGCTCGGACCCGCCGCAGACGAAAGAACACCAGCAGTGCCTGCGCCCGAGCTAGCGGCCGCTCCGAATCGGGACCGTCGGATTAGTGTTGCACAGAGGCTGCGCGCTCAACGGCGAAGCCCTGGGCCAGACGCACGCGGGCCAGCACCAGCACCCTCAGCCCAGCAGAGCCAGCTCTCCACCCCCCCGGCTGAGCCCACCAGAACCGCCGGGTGGACACTGGCCTGACAGCAGTAACGGATCAGGTCACTCACGGACCCACTCAAGTCATGAACTGCTGAGACCAGGGGAGAACCAGAAGACTGGGCCTGGGTGCTGGAGCTCAGCATGTCGGATCAGAACCAGGACATTAGGAGCTCTGCCCCTTGCATCAGGACCCCATGGGCTCAGACAGCAGGTAGTACAAGTCCAATCCATCATCCTGCAGCGCTGGTAGAAGACCAGATTGGAAACGTGGTTTCCGAACCACTAATCAAGAGACAAAAATCAGTGTGGATCACACCTTCATTCACAATAGTTTAATTTTAAACAACACCTGATCAAAGAACGGCTCCGAGCTGTGACCGAACCCGTGCTCGGGATGAACTTGTGCGCGCACACCCTCTGGGGCAGCTGTTTGTGGATCAACAGGATCTGATCCTATTGTCATGTGCAAAATAAAAACAGACCAAGACAACCTAAACCTCTTGAATCTGCCAGTCCAGGCATTCCCCAGGAC